TGCCGATCGGCGCCACGCTGACCGCCACCTGCTCGGTGAGCCCGGAGCTGGGCCTGGACGTTGGCGCCCTCTACTGGACGCTGAACGGGAGGCGCCTGCCCGGCGACACCTACCGGGTGCTGAGCACCACCGCACTGAGCGTGTCGCTGGCCCAGCTCAACGGCTCCCGCCAGCAGTCCGGCGACAACCTGGTCTGCCACGACAACGAGGGCCACATCCTGGCGGGGTCCTGCATCTACGTCGGCAGTGAGTCAATAATCAATCAATCAATCGAGGTTTATTTATCAATGCACGAACAGAACAGCATACAGTGGTGTTGTCTGCAATGAAATGCTTTATCTGAGAGCTGGTTAAGAGGGATAGAAGAGAAGAAGGAGAGACGTTTATAGGGATGAGGTTACAATAAATTATACACTTGCTATTTACAGTTACACAATACAGTTACAGATTGTGCCAAAGTAACACAAGGATAGGAGGTATTTAGCGCTGTTCATATGTGTCCTGAGAGTGCAAAGTGACAGCAGGGCACCGGTCACGGCCCCGGAGAAACACTATCCTCTTTATCTGGGTTGTGTAACTGCCTGCAGTTGTCAAAGCCCCAAAGACGCTGTGGGTGTTGACATGCAATTGCTCCACGCGAGTGTCTGTGGACCTCCTGAAGCCAGAGACCCCGTCCACAATCCAGCTGTGCGTTCGGCCCCCCAGGCATGACCATCTTCATGTGCAAGCCGAAGAAGAGCTCTTTCTGCACGTTAGCGTGCAACTCGGATACTTTAAAACAAATCCAGGGTTGCTCAGGTTCCGTGTTGGATACAGGAACATGGGCCTGTGAAGTTCAGTTCCTCTCAGGTCCGCCTCTGTAAGACAGGCTACCCCTCTCCAGGAGGAAACTCACAGATTCAGAACGGGGACCGGTAGCAGATCGCTCAGCGGATGCCTCTGTGTGTTTAAGAGGTCTGACTGGCCTCTGTGCTTCTGGCTCTGGTGAGGTCAGATGGCTGACCCGTCGTGTTCCTGCCCTCGGTGAGCCTGTGTGTTTCGAGCTCCGTACTGAGCCGAAAGGCTCTGGCACGCAGGCAGCAGCAGACATCCCATTTTCCGGACCAAACTCCTCTTTTCAAACGACAGGAGAAGCTGCAGTCACTATCAGCAAGCAGATCACCTTAACAGTCACTGATAAATTGTCAGGAACACAAAGACATGTAGTATTTTCATTGTATTTGGCATATTGTATATTGCACTTTTTGGACATTTTATACAACTTGGACACATAGTATTTCCATTCCTATTGAGTTGATTCTTATTTTATTTTATTCAATCTGTATTGTGTTGTTTTATTATGCCATTTTATATGGTAACTTTTAACTCATGTCAGTTTTATTCTATTGGCTCCGGTGAGCTTGGGGAAAAAAACAAAACATTTCGTTGCCAGCAATTACTGCTGTACGCTGTATTGATGGGCATTGGAGAAATAAACTTGAACGTGAATTCGAACTCGAGAGTAACGGGAGGAAGAGCCAGGCCGTACTCCGAGGCCGGGGGGCTGTCCAGGTGGTTCAAACGGCTTCCCGTCCCGCCCCGGACCACCATGCGCTGAACTTCGTGTCTCCCCGCCCGTCTCTCTCAGTGCCTCCCGAGAAGCCTGTGAATCTGACCTGCTGGTCCCGGAACACCAAGGACCTGACGTGCCAGTGGGCCCCAGGAGGACTGGGGGAGACCTTCCTCAGGACCAAGTACACCCTCAAGTACAAGCTGAGGTGAGCTCAGTGCTCCTCTACAGCGTGGGCTGGCGGGGCCTATTGTGAAGTACCAAGTGGAGCTTTATTCCATGCTGAAAAGAGGTGGGGGAGAGAGGAAGACCGGCGCTTGATAAAGCAGGGGAGAACAAAAGCCGAGAGTGGAGAGGAGGCGGGAGCAGGAGAGAAAGAGTATCGCCACTCAGGTGGTGTGAAGGCGAGAGAGGCGAAGCTCCCTAGCAAAGACAAAACCAGCAAACGCATAGAGAGGATTAGGAGGCATTGAGTCTGTTGTTGAGCGAAGGGAGAAGGGGTGATCCTGGTTTCAGGATCAGTTTGGTTTCGGCTGTCTTTCTGCAACAGGTGTCCCGAAAGCCCTCCGCGAGGATGCGGATGGAGAGATCAGTATGACCGTGGCCGTTAGAGATGCAGTGGGGAGCTGGGATCTTTGACCCTCACAGCCCCGGCAGGTTCCCTGAAACGGTCTCCCGGTCCTGTTTATCGTCCAGTAGGCGCGGCCGGCTGCTGCAGGGCTGTGTTTGTTGTTCTGGCGATGCTCCGGTCCCGAGCCCTGGGCCGCCAGTCCCCACAGGTCTCCTCTCTCCTGCAGGTGGTACGGCAGGGAGAAGCAGTGCGAGGACTACAACCTCGGCAAGCCCTACTCCTGCTACATCCCCCGCGACCTGGCCCTCTTCACCCCCTACGAGATCTGGGTGGAGGCGTCCAACCGGCTGGGGGCCGCCAACTCTGACGTCATCACGCTGGACATCCTGGATGTCGGTAAGAGCCCCGCCCGGCCCTCCCACCCTCCACCCGGGATTCCCGCCACCCCACCCGGAACATCAAAGCATTCCGACGGCAGCCAGGTCACCAGGGCGGGGTTCGGATGAATACCTCTGCTCTGGAAGACGTTACCCCCGGCATGCCTCTCTCTAACGTCAGCCTTCAATTACCCAGGCGCCCTAAATCTAAATCTAAATCTTTCCCGGATTTCTTCCCAGCTCGGTTCGCCCCCTTTTCCCACTTGTCCCAAAAGAGCATCTCAGATTCCCGGAGAAAAGCCTGAGCATATTCTGCACCAGGAATCCCATGCAGACGCATGCGGAGGGGATTCATATGAAGAAAATTAAAACAAAATCCGGGGCTTAAATATGATGGTGGAGTAGCAGTAATTTTCCAATGATTGCAAAACGTGTTTTTTTTCTTCCCCCGAATTACGAATTTTGCTGCGTGCATCCCTGGAATTTCCTGCCTGTGATTAGCACAGAGGGTTACGCTGTTTTCTATCACGATCCTGTCCTTTGACCGAAGTTTTCGGAGAGAGGGAGCAGAAAACGCATGTGCGTTTGGCAGCGTGGGGAGGAAGAGTTTGGTTTTTGTAAAGCCAGCCCCGCCCCCCCCGAAAAACTCCTGTCTGATGAAGGGGTGCAGGTGAGCGCTCGTTTCCGGAGAGGAGCTGGGGAAGGCAGGGAGTGGGAGAGGGGGCAGAGGGTGGGGGATAGGTGGGCGTCACTTGGAATTTGGGTGCCGGGAGAGTGACGCATTTATGAGCTTTAATTTCCTCTCCTCGTGAGAAACAGGCTGGAAAAAAAGGGCAGCTCGTTTTGGAATTCCTCCTTCGTGAGTTGCTGTGCGGTGGACTCAGGTTATGCCAGCAAAAATAGGAAAAATAAAAGAATGACAACCCTCTAAAATAACATGTCCTGGAAATGAGTCCAGAACAGCTGAGCAACAAAGCAGAAAGTTGTTTATTTAAAAGAAACAGTAGGTCAGCTGAGCGCTGGATGTTTCTGTGAGGGAGATGGCGTGTAGCTGTGGCACAGCAGCCTGGGGAAGCTCTCAGATCTCAAGCCCAGCCTGTTCTCCCACGTGCGTCTCCGAGAGCCCAGGCATGTTTGTTTAATGCGAGACAGAAGCCGACGCCGACGTTCCCTTTGAATTAAACATTGCGCTGGGATCGGGAGCAGTTTGGGCAGACGACCCGATTACCTGCAGGAGACAGGCGGAGGGCGAGAGAGCCAACACACTGAATCAAAGTGGAAAAGCCTGGTTAGTCTGTCTTACTGTGGGGCCTCTGAAAGGGAGGCTGTTGCCTTTGTAGCTTGTTAATAGAAAATAAAATCACTTTATTGGCCATCTACAATTTCTTGCATTAGGAATTTGTCTTTTTGCATACTCCAACTGGCTCTCCATGAGACACACGGACAGGGAGAGAAGCTGGGGGTTTAGAGTGCTGGATCAGCCATTTATTCGGCGCCCCTGGAGCAGCTGGGGTGAAGGCCCTTGCTCAGGGGCCCAACGGAGTAGGATTCCTCTGCCGTTTTACAACTGCGTCTGTGTCTGTCTCCTGCAGTGACCACAGACCCCCCCTCGGACGTGCACGTGAGCCGTGTGGGGGAGCTGGAGGACCAGCTGAGCGTGCGCTGGGGCGCCCCTCCTGCTCTCAAGGACTTTCTCTTCCAGGCCAAGTACCAGATCCGCTACCGTCTGGAGGACAGCACGGAGTGGAAGGTACAGACGTGCACCGCTACAGAAAGACTACAGCACTGCTACACCACCACTACACCACCGCTACAGCACCACTACACCACCGCTACAGCACCGCTACAGCATGTACAGAAACACTACACCACTGCTACAGCAACACTACACCACCACTACAGCAACACTACACCACCGCTACAGCAACACTACACCACCGCTACACCACCACTACAGCACCACTACACCACTGCTACAGCAACACTACACCACCACTACAGCAACACTACACCACCGCTACACCACCACTACACCACCACTACAGCAACACTACACCACTGCTACACCACCACTACACCACCACTACAGCAACACTACACCACTGCTACACCACCACTACAGCACCACTACAGCACCACTACACCACCGCTACTCCACCACTACAGCACCACTACACCACCGCTACAGCAAGACTACAGCAAGACTACAGCAAGACTACACCACCGCTACAGCTCCATTATAGCATCACTATAACAACACTACAATACTGCTATGGTACTATAGTCAACACTATAGGAACACTACAGAAACACTATAGGAATACTATAGCACCACTATCGCACAAGAGCACACTACAGCAACACAATGGCACAGCTCATTACAGCAAAACTACATCCCTGCAGCAGAGATGGCATCACCTTGCACTATTGAATATTTCATTTGTAGCCACTAGACTTCACTTTCCTCTCCACTGGGTTTGAGATGTTTATCCTTTATCAACACCTATTTAATCTGCCCCTGGGGTCAAACAGGGACATTTGATTTAGCGCTACATGCTGTGCAATAGAAGGACATCAGGATAGCTTCTGAGCACATCATTAACCATAGAAAATTAACTATAGTTCTGACCATTCATGCCAAAATCTGTGCGTGTGTGTAGTGCAGTCTAAAACCAATATCTAAGCTTGTGTTCGTCTCAGAGAGTCAGATGAATTATTTCTTACGCCTGGGATTATAAAACCGGGATAGCTGCTATGTTTGTCTTGACGTGCAAGCCTGTGTGTGCATGCTGATGTGTTTGGCATTGGTAAGGTATTCTAAGCCAGAGTGTGTGTTTAATGCTTGTAAGGAGTTATCTAAGCTCATGGGATTGTGTGTGTCGTGATAGCGTTGCATGTTAAGCTTTTCTTCTGTTTACTATGTAAGCAGAATTATGCTTTAAGCCATGCAGTCAGTATTATTTCATCATTTGTCATCCGGCCTTATTCAAGGTGACCTATGAGGTTTAAATTGATCTAAGTGCTTAAGTATTTGTGTGTTCCTGCAAGGGAGGGACAGTGGTTAGTACGGCTGCCTCGCAGATCTGGGGCCCTGGGTTCGATTACAGAGCCGGGGCGCTGTCTGCATGGAGTTTGCATGTTCTCTCCACATTGGCAAGGGTTTTCTCCCACAGGCCAAAGAGATACTGGTGGGTTAATTGGCTTCTGGGAAAACTGGCCCTAATGTCAATTGGTGGTGAGTGTGTGTGTTTGTCTGTGCCCTGCGATGGACTGGCATCCTGTCCAGGATGGATCCTGCCTTGTGCCCATTGCTTGCTGGGATAGGCTGTGGCTGCCCCGCGACCCTGAATTGCAGAAGAAGCAGATGGATGGATGTTCAAGCAAGGAAGGAATGTTATCACAGCACTTCCACGGGGCAGATGTTGAAATGCAGTGCACAGGCCAGCGCGGTGTCCGCGTGCGTATGACAGCTGGTGTCTCCTCAGGTGGTGGACGACGTGGGCAACCAGACCTCCTGCCGCCTGGCAGGGCTCAAGGCGGGCACAGTGTACTTCGTGCAGGTGCGCTGCAACCCCGTGGGCATTTACGGCTCTCGGAAAGCAGGGATCTGGAGCGACTGGAGCAATCCCACCGCTGCCTCCACGCCACAGAGCGGTGAGCACGCGCGCACTCCGCACAGCCCTGCACCACCCTGGGGGGGGGGCTCTGTGTTTCCTCTGTGGTCAACGAGGCCATTTTCAAATGGTCAGCTAGTGCAGACTTAGTGCTCTAATCAAGCGGCTGTAGTTATTGTGTCAATTAGATTATTATTATTATTATTATTGCTTACACTTATATAGCGCTTTTCTGGACACTCCACTCAAAGCACTTTACAGGTAATGGGGATCCCCTCCACCACCACCAGTGTGCAGCCCCACCTGGATGATGCGACGGCAGCCATAGTGCGCCAGAACGCTCCCCACACACCAGCTCTCAGTGGGGAGGAGAGCAGAGTGATGAAGCCAGTTCAGAGAGGGGGATTATTAGGAGGCCATGATGGGTAAAGGCCAGGGGGGAAATTTGGCCAGGACGCCAGGGTTACACCCCTACTCTTTTCAAGAAACACCCTGGGATTTTAAATGACCACAGAGAGTCAGGACCTCAGTTTTATGTCTCATCCTTGCAATTTCCATTCCATTCAATTCCATTCCATTCGTAGTCTTTGGCTACGAAGTAAACCCCAGGTGCTTTAAATGATCTTCAGTGGCTCAGTCAATAACGAGATTCAGAGGTAAATAAGCAGATGAACGAGGAGGATGGATCGAACTCCTTCAGGGGACTGGAAAGGAATTAAGTGCCGAGGCAGGAAGGAGTACAGATCCTGCCGCTGGGGGTCAGGTGTGGCCCCCCCAGGCCACTGCTGGTCCTCCCCAGAAGGGCCCCACCTCCCCTCCGCGCCCCATCTCTGAGTCTGCTGGAGCCTGACGCGCAGCAGAGGGGGGAGAGAGAGGTGGAGGAGAGGGGGGATTCAAACTTCTGATTCGGACCTGGAATGGATCCTGATTCTGTGAGCGCCCAACAGTGCAAATCACTTCCCAGCTGGCTGTTGGGGAAACTGCCCTTCTGAAGGGCAGCAAGACGCGTTCCTCTGTCGAGACAGGTCTGGTTTGCTCTTTTTTTCTGACCAGGGGCTCAAGGAAGCCTGATGGTGGGGTGTGATCTTGGTCACATTGGAACACTGGGCTGAAAAAGTCTTATTAAACACTATGGATTTTTTTCAGTTAATCTAGTTTTCAAAACCCCCGTTTTAGAGCACTTAGGGCATGCTTCCTGATGCAATTTGTAATCATTTATTCTTATACTTAATCTTATACTTATACTTCTTATTTTAAGAATTTACAACAGTTGCAAATTCTTTTTTTTTTTCGGGGCAGTCTTCTAACACGCCCAACAGATTGAGTCATACGCAGCCAATTGATAAGTGGGATGTTTTGGGAACTTTTCTTCGCTTTAGGTGTGCAGTAGCAGTGTGGCATGAAGGAATTTGGCAGTGGGTAAACAGTGCTTTTATTTTCTGGAGTTATTTGAAACTGTCTCAGAGCACACAGGCGCGTCGCTCTTGAACGAAAACAGCAAGTCCCTCTGCTCTCAGTTTTCCATGGGAGAAGAAAGAACAGTCACCCCAACTGCCTCAAGAAACAATCTGATAACCCGATAACGGTCTTGAATCGATTGATGA